ATAAAAGTAAATTATATTTAACAAATTATTTATATAGTAAATAAATTATTTGTAGTAAATTATTATTATATTATATTATATTATATTATTATAGTATACTTGTAAAAGTGAATTTTTTGTAGCAAATTATCTATAGTAGTAAATATTTTATAGCAAATTACTTTATAGTAAATTGATTATGTTAAATTTAAATAATTAATTATTAAAAAAATCTACTTTTTATTTGTTAAACATAATATTTACAATTTTAATTCTTTGATTATTGCATGAAGAACTAATGTTCTCAAGAATTTTTGCAACAATTAGAAATTTGTGCTATTGGTTAGACATCATGTATTTTTTAAGTTATATTAACACACATATTTTCTTTTTACTGAAATGTTTTAATTTTTCTTTTTGACTTATATAATGATTCATATGAATTTTATTATAATGATAATTTTGGCACATACTGATCTTATTGTGTAATGCAAATATTTGTTCGTCTCATCTAATTTACAAGAATTTCACCTCTGGCCAAAGTCAAATTTTTATGAAATGATTTTGCATTTTAGCGAATCGAGCCATGAATGTCCAGATGGTTGTCAAGGAAACGAATATTACTCAATTATTTACAAACTTGAATGGAAAAGTAAAGATATCGACTGTCTAATAAAGAATGCGCTAAAATTAGACCAATGAAAGATTACCAATGCTGAATATCTAGGTTTTGGATCAATCTATAAACCATTTTTGCACCATTACAACGCGTGAATCACGAAGAAATGAATTTCAACTACTAAATAAACACAAAGAAGGTCATTACACAATTAAAAGCAAATCACATCAAAGTTTATAAACGAGGTAAAATGAACAATATTTAAAGTGTAAAAATGATGTTTGGAATAACTAAAATCCAGCTACTCGATAGTAATGGCCATGAAAAACGGACTTGAAATAAAACTAAGATACATGTATTTACATAAATTTGCGTGCATTGCAACTTTCACCCTGGAAATATATTATTGGATTTGGAAGCCTGCATTACCGATTTTGGATTTACTGGTACAGCAGATTTATGGAGTACTTCCTTATACATTAAAGCTGCAAATATTTAGAGTTTTGGAATGATTATGTAAAGGTGAACGAAATAATGATAAATATCTTGTATAAAGTACGACCATACCAAATAATATCCCAAATGATGTGAAAAAGAGCTAGGAACCTATTCCAGAAAACAGATCAATTGCTGAGGAACTTTGCAGTTTTATTAACTCCATTTCCCTACTTACGCTATCAATGAGACGTAGAAACCAAACACATTGCATCTTCAGTACTACAGCTCTTTAGAATCTCCTAAAACACAAGAAATTAAGTGTCTTAAACTAGATTGTCTGGAATTATGTGAACTTGATGGGAAGCATTTGCACAAATATAAATAAAAAACAAATCCAAATACAGTTATACCAGTCGAATCTTTACTACCAAACCAAACTCCAACTAATACAGGTAAATTTAAATACAGTATTTCTAAATACGTATCATATTAGCATTTTATATCAACTTTAAAGTTTATTTAGGCTTTACAAGTGTTAGTTTGTATCGGTATGTTCAAAATGAAATTGTATTTAATACGCATTTAATGTGATTTTTTATTAATTCCTTAATTTAGTATTTTTTTTGGTAATGAATGAAGAGAATTAGATAACGTCAAAAGCAAATGCTGCTCTTTGTTAGGAGGAAATATTAATTACATGTACGTACTTTGTACTTTATTTAATTAAAAATTCTATCAACTTCGTAACTAAGAAGCAAATACAAAATTTAACTGACTGGTAATATTATAGAAAAGGACTTTCTTGATAATGTTACCGGTCAAATTTTGGATTTGCTTCTTAGTTAAGAAGTTGATAGAATGTTTAACATGAAACACATTTGTCGATTTAAGAGTTCCTAACAATAATAAATTTTAATTGTTAAGTCTAAAATCAATGTAATTGTACCATTGGGTCTGATTTTGATTTGTACCGATTCTTACGTCAAACGAAAAATCTAATTTTAGACAAGGCCAATTTGTTGCTTCATTAAAGAATTTATTTCAAAACTTTACGATTAAATAAATGTTGAATTCCTTGGTACGTCCAATTATAGCTTTTTGCCCCATTAGAACCCATCAAACTGTCTGGGGAATCGCATGTTTTCAACGGTAGACATTGTAAATGACTAGTCCATTCATTTTGCAAACTTAGCGTTTTATTCTATAAGCCACCAACTGAAAATGACTTTTTAGAACCTACCAGGGCGACCAAGAGTTCGGGCCACGTGATAATTTTTTGATGATGTCAGCGATGATGACCAATTAAATTGCAAGATGAACGTGTAACACAAAAATTCAAAAATAAACAAAGACATATTTTTGAAAAAAGCTTGTATCTCAAAATCTAGCCTATGAAACTATCTTTTGTGTTCTAATAAAAAATGTTCCTTGCGAAATTTTACTATATATACATTTTTTGTTTCCCTTTTCACATCGTTAACGTCATCAAATAATTATCACGTGGCCCGAACTTTTGGGGGTCGCCCTGGTGGATTCGTTACGTATATGCACACGTTGGCGTGAGACAACCTATTACATAACTATACACAATATTGATATCTAACAACTAATTCATTACAATTATTACACAAGCATTAAACCTAACTAAGTAACATCTTTACTTGTGGAGAATTGGGGAGTTTGCGCACAAAAGACATTTGCTTAAGTGGAGTGAATTGAGTGCTTCGATATTTACACATTCCTGCCAATATAAAAAACCAATGAATGTTAAAAACAAAAAATGTTTATTATAAACCTAAAAAAATATATATGTACCTCCAAAGCCGCAATATGACTAATTGCAAACTCAGCCAATGGAAATGAGGCACGGTCAATCACCAGTTTGGTAGTAAGGAAGGGCTAAGTACGATATAGCCCATCAAACTTCAAGTCCATAATAAATGACTCCATTTGGTCACCTGGTGATCACAGAAGTATTATTCAGTACCCGCCATAAAAATCACTTTCATGTAATTCATTATAAGCATACATACCCATATTTAGAAGCACAGCCGCTTTACCTGGACCTCCCCTACTATCCATTTGCCGATTGATCGATTTTCGTGCTTTTAGCTGTCCTTTAAGCTGTCCTTTAAGCTGTCTTTTTTACGCTGCAATGGTGTGAATCCTATTAGCTTAGATTCCGAGTTTAGTGTTGCAACTTCATACACTTCACAAGAGAGATCAGGTCTTTCCATTGAATTCATGTTTGCAGTATTTAATGTTAGGTCATATTCTTTTCACCAGAAAAGAATGGACGAGTAATTGGATGAAGGTTTAAATAAGTCCTCTGACATTTTTGATGACACAACTTTCGGAATACTAGCAGATCTATAATATATTATATGTAAGTCAAAAATTCATAAATAACAAACATATTATAGCAAATAAGATAAATAATGCGCGTGCAACGATTTTACCTAATTGCAAGTTGCACCATCTATAGTTGCGTCTTTTCCTTGGAAATGATGAAATTTCTGGTGGGATAGGATGATTTTGAATTTTAGAAAAGTGAGTATAAATAAATTTTTTATGAAATTCATAAAATTTGAATCACAGGTTGGGTACAATGGATAAAATCCTTATCTGGATCCAATTTCTAGCCTTATCAATCACCAGTTTGATAGGCGTGTATAACCCATCAAACTTCAGATCCATAATAAATAATTCTATTAGATCACACAGAAGTATAATTCAGTACTTTCCATAAAAGTCACTTTCATGTAATTCATTATAAGCATACATACCCATATTTAGAAGCACAGCCGCTTTACCTGGACCTCCCCTAATATCCATGTGCCAATTTATTGATTTTAGTGCTTTTAAGCTATCTTTTTTATGTTGCAATGGCGTATATTCGATTAGCTTAGATTCTGAGTTTAATGTTGCTATTTCATATACTTCACAAGAAAATCATCTTTTCTATATGATGCTTGATGAAGTAATAATGAAATTTCTGGTGAAATTGATTCGTTTTAATATCCACTCCTCAATTGTGAATATTGGATAGGGGCATGGATTTATAATCAAAGATAAAGCCCCAGATATACGAAATACTAAGAAAATGTGTTTAACATATTTTATGAATATTAGTTGATTAATATTATGCCACAAAGAAAATTGTTTATAGAATTAGCATTTTTTATATCAGCCCGGTAACTTCTGTATGTGATATTTCGTGATTCTGTACTCGGATCAGATCGATATAAACGCCATTCAATTTAGCTTGCCTAGACAAATCAAATGGTTTTTAGATCATTCCGATCCGAGCACTGAATCGCGAGATATCGCGTTCTGAAGTTACCAGACCGAAAAAAATAATTAAATTTTAACATTTAATGCTTTTATAATACCATATTTCAAAAGCTCGTAAATATTTTAGACCATTTTCTTGTTCTTTGTTTAACACATCCTTTTGATATTGCCGAAATCTTGGAGTTATATTAATATCATCAATCTCCCACTAAAAACAGAAGCAAATTATGGATATGTTTGCAATAAAAATAAGAATTTTGATATGTAACATACCTCAGTTCTTGGTTCACGTCTGCAACACTACTTATTTCTTTATCATCACTAAACTCTTCACTATAAGGAGAATGAAGTTTAATCTTGCAATTTCCCATTATTTTAATCATCCTAATATGAAAGATTCAATTATAATTAGATCAGTTAACAGTCTTGAATGTCAGGCAATCCGATATCTCATTACTATTTTGTATTTCTAACATAAGAGCTCTTATACTCACTAGTCTATAGTTATTAAGAAGCAACTGTGCTCTTACCTTTCTCAGAATCAACAATATACTCAAGAGCCTTAAGGTAATAGTCTAGCTTTTGTTCAAATGGGTGTCTCCATAAAAGTCAGCTATTTCGCCTCTCTATTGCCTTGTCCCATGGCATTTACTAGATTATTTAAACCAGTAATCAAATTTCCAAATTATTTAGAAATCGGTTTTCTCTATCCATTGCTTCTTGACCTTCTTCTGGTTTCAGATCACACTCATTTGAAAATTATAAAATGTCCCCCTCCATTTAGAGGTTTCGCGACTGAAGTATTTGTGTGGTTTTTGCGACATGAACTATGTTTGCCAGTGTTGCCAATTTCATGGTCATAAGCCATTTTTCATATGATTTTGGTCATAAGTCATATAGAATTTATAATAAAATTGAGGTCATATCAAGGTCATAGTCCAACACTGATGTTTGTATTTTCACAATTTTGAGGGACACGTAAGAAAATAGTAAATAGTATAGGAAGTAGGAAGAAGGAGAATCTGTTTATATTTTAGATTGTTCATTACGTGTCGTGTGATTTAAAACGCGTGTATGATGATTTATGATTTATGTATTCAAAACACTATGTATGACGTATACCGCTGATAAATGAGTACATACATGTAAATGTAATAACAATTACGTAATAGCTAATTCAAAAACATTGTATATCGTGATCCTGGTGTCTATTTTGTGTGACCTTGTTATTTGCTGTTCAGACCGTCTCAACATGACGAATTGAACGGAGGCAACTTCACACAAAACATCACTGGATCACATTCTGTCCGTTTTCACGATTTTGCTAAAATTTAAAAACGAGATATCTTGTGACCTTGTTACCATTCAGACTGCCTCAACAAGGTGAATTGAAAGGTGGTAAGAATACATTGTGTGTGGAAACAGACTATTAAATCAATCATGTGATCATAAGCCACATATATCATGTGTTTATGTTATATAAGTCACATGTTCGAATTTTTTTGGGTGGTTACGCTGGATCACGAGATACCACGTTCCGAAGTATGACAATTTTTTCCAATTTTGACAAATTTTTTTAAATTTCCAGTGATTTTTTTCTTTGATAATAGAAACTACGAAAATAATTTTCTTTTTGTTGTTTGCTTTTGGATTTTTTGGATTGTCATTAGAAGTATATTATATACATTATGTTTCTTTTTTATTTTTTATTTTTCATAATTACAGGATAAAATATGTTGCACTTTGTGGAAAATACAGTGGGTCTAGCCCTGCTGTTCGTTCATGACAATTCACACGAGTCTTTTTAATACCACTTCGAGATCTTATTATATTTGTCATAATAAAACGATTGTTATCTCAGGAAAAACCGGAATTAATGCTTCACCGTGATACTTTTTACCATGTATAGTACGCTGTGAAATTGTACTTTCAATGCATTTAATACCCAATACATCATCATCAATATTTATTTTCGAGACATTATGTATTTTCAAACGTTTCAAACGAGTGAATTGTCGAAAGATGGTCCAATTCGTAAAATCTTCAAAAGGGAAATAAGAAAACTCCATCGAGGTAATTGCATTCTTCTGTGTGCAAAGTGCTGACAATAGTGATTTTCGGTGATCAATTATCTCGCCGATTATCTCGATTGTGGTAAGATTAGTTTGGCCGCGTATGAGTTCAATAAGATTCTTTAATTCAGCAGAACCGAGTTTTATAGTGATGCTCAAATAAATTAAATTATATTAGTATCAAGTTATAAAATTGAAATCATAAACAAAAATTCATATTTACAATTTTTCGACAGAATGGAATCAATGTAGCCAAAACGTGACTTTTATCAATGTGTAATCCAATAAAGTCAAGCGTGTCAATCTCTGAATATACACATGCATATTTAGGAGAAAGAATCTTGTTATCATGATGCTGATATTTCACACTCATATTTTTGAATTGATGACCACGAGATTTGAACATTTCCAGCAATATTTTCATGATAACTTTAACCGTTTTTTTCTGCAAAGTTGATCTAAAGTTTCGCAATAATCCAAAACCGCACGAAATATTCCACCATAATCGAACACTAAGCAATATGAAATGTAATCGAATAAAGGCTTCGTAATAATTTCCAAATCACAACCCGATCCCTCAAAGTTTTCTAAATTTTCTGGCAAGATGGTATGTTTTGGAAAATACGGACTCATCTTTAAATAGTTAATTGATGGTTCTGTGTTGGATAGTAAGTATGCACGGATTGCATGTTTCGCATTGGCGTGTCGATAACTGAACGGCGCTTTCCAATTATTGGGATTCCGAGGAGACACCAAGCACGGTTCACGCGAATTGCAGAAAATAAATCTTGTATATTAGCATTGTGAATATTATTTGTAGAATATCAGGAATTAGATGCACGTTTTTTCCGCTTTCTGAGCAGGTGAAACGAGATTTAGACAAATTTATTGGACTTTTTATGGGCATTTTTATGAGTGATGGATTCAAAATAAATACATGTATTCGATAAATCAGAATTGTTATATTGTTATTTTTTTATATTTTATCCTCACTTTATACGCAGTACATGTAACTGCCCTATACCGATACATATACAGTACGGTATCTCAATCGATCGATATCAAAAATCATAGGTGCTGATTGCTGCGGATGAATTTTAAGTTCTGAAATTCTATAATAACAATATATGATTTTTTATATATCGTCTTTTGTATTTTAATGTTTATAAACGAAATGAGTTCTGTATAAAACATGTTGATTGATTTTAAGTTGCACAATTACATGTTCACTAAAATATACATGAATGCTTCTAAATGTATAATTTATATAATAATTTCGACATACATGTAGATGTTATTTACGCGGCAACTGGTGTTTAAAATTCATTTAAAAATTACTCTGCGCGCCCGCATACTTTTAAAATAATCTATCTGCGCAAACTTTCATTGTGCGCATGATACAATATACGTACTTCACATTATGATTTTTTTGCATAACCAGTCTCCAATCTGCAGTGCGCAAATTGTGCAGGTCAATTTTAAACACTGGCGACAAACCATAAAGAAATTCACCCATCTATAATTGAAAGAATAAGATGTAGAATTTTTAATATTATGCGTCGGTTATATTTTGATTCTGGCACAATACGCCGAAGTTTGATATTTTTTGAACCAGCTATGGTATTATGAATTCATATAATTTATATTTTTAAGTCAATACAAATAGTTATATTTGTTGCCAAAATATTTCTGATGAAAAAACTTTATATCTTTGAAAATTTTTATATTAATTTATTAAATACCATTTTGTCATTAAGTAAATTAAGAATCAATTAGATTGGGCTATAACAGTAAGCTCTCCAAATAAATTTCAAATGCAATCAAAGCAATAGACAAAAGAGAAACAAAATCAAAATTCAAAAGATTGTAATTTATGAAATGTCGCATTAATTCTTTAACATGCAAATTAAGGCACCCATAAACATTTTGATTGATCCAAATAATATTCCATACAACGTAATAATTAACGTGCACTACAATATTCATAGCGATAGGATAAGGTTGTTGATACGTATAGCGATAGTAATAAAGATGACGTTTGCTTCCTTTATTCAAACTTCGATCGACAATAGATACGTACGTATAGTTTTCTTCACAACAAACTAAGCATTATCACAAATATTGACCAAATAAAAAATGACAACTGACTTCACACTCGATGAATTCCAACTATTATGACATTTCAAAAGCTGAACCGACACAATAATTTAATAAATAGCTCTGTCCTATTAGTAATGTCAGTATGCAAAAACTGTAAATTTATATACATAATACATGTAATAAATCTCTTAAATAGGTATTTCGATTCTTACATGTACATGTATATAGGATCTACAGTATTTGAGAATTAATTGAAATCGATTAATCGAATTTATTTAAAACGATTAATCAAAATTATTCAATCGATTCTGGTTAGGAATCGATTCCTATCCTTGACTTGAACCATTTATTATGACTGTAAAAGTGACAACTGATTGTCTATGCAACTGTTTGGACTTGTCCTGCGTGGATAAATTAAGAAATCCATTGACCATTATTCATGGTATAATTCTAAATTCATTCAAACGCCATATATCGAGCTATTAGAATTGATTTCTATCTTTGAGACCAGAATAGAAAATAGATTCTCAAAAACTGTATTTCACATTACACAATGTTTATAAACATATGCGTGATTTTAAATACGGTAATTTTACTCCAGAATTGAAACAACCAAATCCATATCTTTAAAAGATTAAAGAAACCAGCTGATTCACATTTAATTGATCTTTAAAGGAATGATATTTTTAAAGTCACCGCTCCGATCATATTGATCATGAATTTCTTACAGAATTTGAATTACTACTGCTTGTTTCATATCTTCAAAGGTATTGATCTTGCTGCAAGGATTGATAAAATTGAGATAACTTTGAATGCATTCTATGTTTTTCTTTAATAAATATTGCAACAAGATATTGAAATTCTTTTCTGGTTTGAATTAAGCTCAAGATGTATAGAAGACTCTTAAAAAGAGTTATAAGTTTCCTTGTGTTGAACATGAAGTAGTGAATAAAACTATTATAATACAATAAATAGATTCTAAAATTAATATCAAATCCTAATAAAATAAATATAAAATTGATAAGTTTGTATTATTTGAAAACTTAATTTATTTTTCTATTTTTTTGAAATTTGTAAATGAGTTCTATAAAAATATCTGTTTATAAGATTTTTTTGTTATAAGAGTAGACAGAGTAAACATTTTGATTATTTTGGTCATTAATCAATAGCCAAAATTTCTAAATATAGTAATTTAATTATTATATTTAGAAATTTTGGCTGCTAATTAATAATTAAAATAATCAAAATACCAATTCTGAAAGTAAGTATAAAATTTCTGGTTTGTGAATTTCTAATTCTCTTTTTTGATAAAGCTTATTAAGTTATTTGTATTAAATAAAATAATGCAATTTGCTTTTGCAAATTAATAATACTTGATGATTTTTTGAAATACATATTGCATATAATAGATATTGATAATTTTTAGTTAAGTTATGAGTTTCTAAGAATGATATATTATTATATGATAGATACTATATTTAGTTTAAATTAAAAAGAATTCAAGCAAAACATTAATACTAATATTTAACAGATAATCTTGAAATAAAATAGAATTTGATTTTTATTGAAGATAGGAATTTATCTAGTTCATATATAGTATATTCATATAATAAATTTGTGAGTTTGAGTTTGTATCTCTTATGGGATATTGTTACAATAATAATATAAAAATCGCAAATTCAAAAATAATTGAAAAACATGAAAATTCCAAAAATATTCATATAATGATAAAATCCTCTAGTATTATTTCACTTTTCATTATTTTACTTTTATTATTTCACTTTTTTTTCACTTTTCAAAAATTTCACTTTTTATTTTTCATTTTTTAGAAATTTCACTTTTTATTTTTCACTTTTATATATATTATTTCACTTTTTCGATTTTTCACTTTTTATTTTT